TTGATGTAATAAAGTACTTTTAGTGCATAGAATGAAAGGCGGTTAATGCTATGGTTAAATGTGTGTTATAGTCTCAGCACTTTAAGTAGCCAGTAAAACTAGAAAAGCCTGTCAGCTCCACTCCATAGTCACAGTCTCTAGTTGATTAATATTAGTAGCTTTGGGTGGAACACCTTGACAGCTGCTGGATGGACTGTCGTGACATTTTCAACGCATGTTCAAACTCCTCTCGAGATGACTTAACATTTCCAGTATTTCATCTTGCACAACAGTCAAGTTAAAATATCAAATTAGTGCAGGAGTTGATGGTGTAGGTGCATCCTCCTCTATATCCACAATATCCACATCCTCATCTGTATTTTGTGCTTATTGTTGATTCCACAATGTTGACTTGGTTGCTATGACAGTAATCGTAATAGGTCTAAAAATACACACAGTTTATGTTAACTCGTATGTAGACACACATATACATAAACATATACTTCTTCTTCCTCTTCTTTGCAAGTGGCATTGTTAGCATCACTGACTGATGAACAATTATTTACAGATATGCATAATAACACAATCCAATTGCCACTGCACTAAAAGCCTTTTAAGCCAAATTAATTTAGAAACAACAGCATACACATAACGTACACGTTATGTCACAACGGACATGTATGTACACGTAACGTACATGTAATGCTGCCATTCATTTTGAGATCAGCTACTACACATAATATATATAATTTGTAAGGATATAGATTTAGGCTCTGTTGACAAGGCAAACGCCTATAGTCAGTTCTCACCAGACTGCCTGTCATGGTTTTGATGTAAATCACCTTCTTGTTAAAGCTGTTTTTTAAACAAAGCTGAGATATGGTTCGTTAGCATTAATATTTCCACAGTGGAGCTGTGAAGTGGAGCTTGAAACAAACTCTGTTTGAGCCTATTCTTTCAAACTTTGTGGTCCAAATTATTTGAGTCCATTAGGGGCTTCCTGAGCCCTGCCTGTAATCATGGTCCAACACAGTGCAAGCTGGAAGAAAGCAAAAATGAGTTACTTAAAAAAAATAAACATTTCCAAACAGTAGACATAGCTCTCTCTTTCATCCTCCATCTGTCTTTACTGTTCTTGAATGTAACACCTAGTAACATAAGCCTGATGGATACAGGATTTTTAAGACCAATACTGATATTTGGTGATTTTAAAATTTGATATTGAAGTTTGTCAGACACTTGAAACATAAACAGACTTGTTAAAACATCTGCCAAATAACCATAAATATTTATTATGCTTATTTATTTATTTACTTGTTTCCACTCTGTCGTTAGCTGGTTGAGACTTTTGTTGCATTCTGAACAGCCGTGAAGTTGCAGAGTGCCCTCTAGTGGACATAAATACTAAAAGCTTTGTTGAAGGGTGTCTTTCCTGGGTCTTCTTTTTTTCATTTTCATTTATCAGCCATTACAAATTCTGATAACAATAGCAAAAAAATAAAAACATATTTAAAATGCTGGAATGGTTCTTCCAACATACTGCCCAGCACTAGCGTTGGTTAATGTAACTTATAAAAGTATCCTGTTGCATTACATGATTACTAACAATAAAAAGGAACTTGTTACATTAAAGCGTTTGCTATTGGAAAAACACATAGCCTACTTTCACATTATCAAAACAAAAAAAAAAAAGAAAACTTCTTTGCAATTAGCTTGCTGGTTACATTGTCCAGAGGTTGTGTAGCCTACTGTACATTAACCTTTGAGTGAACTGACTTTTTCTCTTTGCATGGCAAGTTGATATTGGTAGCACCCTCGTCCACCACATAAACAACAACCATTTTGGTTAATCTCCCTTGCATTAACATCACTGATAAAAGCTAATTGTTGAGGTGTTGGAGCTGTAGCACCAGCATCACTCTTCTCTTCAGCAGGGCCTCACCAGTAATGTTAATGCTGAGCTTAGCTTGTAATGTGTTTCTTCAACATGTGAAGTCAGCAAAACAGCTGATAGAAAGCAGGCACAAGATAATGCATTACTTCTATAGTGTGAGGGGCTATCCTCTTCATGAACTCACGAGCTAACTTTAACATATATTTGATAAAACTGCAGTAAATGCAGCTGTTTTTTTTTTTTTTGTTCTTATCACAACTAAAGGAACAGGTAATGTGACATTTTAACTGACATGTATTTGAAATAAGGGCACCACAGTGGTTAGCACTGTTGCCTCACAGCAAGAAGGTTCTCAGTTCAATTCCACCATCAGGCCAGGGTCTTTCTGTGTGGAGTTTGCATGTTCTCCCCGTGTTTGTGTGGGTTCTCCCCGAGTGCTCCGGCTTCCTCCCACAGTCCAAAGACATGTGGGGATAGGTCAATTGAAAAATCTAAATTGCCCATAGGTGTGAATGTGAGTGGTTGTCTGTCCCTGTGTGTTAGCCCTGCGACAGATTGGCGACCTGTCCAGGGTGTACCCTGCCTCTCGCCCTATGACAGCTGGGATAGCCCCCCCCTCGACCCTGAAAAGGATAAGTGGAAGCGAATGGATGGATGTATTTGAAATATTAACTTAATAACTGGCCGCTTCAATTGCAAAAGTATGTAACAACACTTTGTAATATATCACCCACTGCACTAGTTAGCACAGTCACTATATCATGTTAGCTCATCAAAGTTACAACAAAGCCTTAGCTTGTTATTAAGGCTTAAAGGAGCACATACTAGTCAGTGCTGAGCATGCTCTGGGAAGGTGTTTGACACTGGTAAACCATAACATCCCATCACGCTGCACAACTTTGTGCCGGAAATAGTTTGTTTCTGAAACTATCAGCGAGCTAACGAGCTGATCCCTCTCGGTGGCTGTGTTGCTATTCCCACTTTACCGAGATCACTTGTTCCCCCTGAGAAAAGAGTACACAAGAACCTCAAACAGACGCCACGATGAACAGTTAATCCTCGCGCGTCCATCAAGATGGAGTCTCTTCTGTGCCGGTGGAAAAAAAAAACAATAGGATTTTTGTGCAATGTGTGCTGATGCCCCAAAATGAATTGTGTTAAATTCAACCCTTCTAACAGCAAGAAACACTTATCCCACCAGTCTTTTGTGTGTGGGTTGTGTAAGTGTGTGTGTGTGTATATATGTCGAGAAAAGAAAATTAATTTTGAGGCTGAACAAGACACGGTAACCGTCTTTTTAATTGCATCTCGCTTTCTTAATGGCTGTCTATTCTGCTGAATGAAGGAGACACTGTGATTAGGCAGAGCAGAATTGGGATTGTTCCAAAATCAGCTTCTAAAAATGTGCCTTTGTTTTGTTTGCTGTTCAGAGTTTCACAAGTGTGGTAATGTGAAATGAATACTGCAATTTCTTTCTGCTTTATTATGTGACTAATTTCGCAACAAACTAGAAACATATCCTTAACTTCCACTGCAAAGGAATCAAGTTTGTTTTCTGTGCAATTACCCACTGCACTGTCAAAGTGACCTCTGGGTCTTTTGTCATTTACAGAGAACACAGTTTGCTGTAAACCTCAACAAGCTTTAACACACCATTTTCACATCTTAAAGATCCCAGGCAGAGAAGTGCAATAGACTCGAGGGTTTACCCGCCACTGGAAACCAGCACCTTTTGTTGTAAAACTGGATGAAATGGTATGCCATATCAAAAAAAAAAAGGATGGGAGTCTGATACCCTGCTGTAGCTTAAATAATTGATCACACTGACATTAAATCCATAGTGTCGGGTCAGTGAGTCAATGCTTCACTTTGTTAGCCAAAGAAATTTGCTTTCATGTAATCAGATTCTGGATTGATCTTTTTTGGATGCAGAGACATTTACAATGTACACTGAGTCTCCATAAACCCAGCATACAGCAAAGGACCAGCACACAGTCATACAGAAACACCAAAGGCCTGAACCCAGTAACTAGAAGAAAAAAATAAATAAACAGCTTCATATGGACTCCTTTTATAAAGCGCTTGCTTATATGGGCATCTAAATTCAAATCACATGCCTCAAGAAGGAGTAACAAGCAACCCACAGTCTGTGCCTCATCTAACTGATCTTTTGACAGTTATCCAGCCCAACTAACTACACTATTTAGCGAAGCAAACCCAAAAGTGAGAGACTGTATTGCAGCGGTAAAAGGGGCGGTAACTGGAACTATTCATGTGAAAACTAGATGTTAGAAACACCATTTTTCAAATCAGAGCCAAATGTGTATCACAGCGACCAGCCTTCGCTGTAAAAGATCTCCTCTTTTAATCATTCAAATGCACTTAGGTAGAATAATAAATGTGCAGCACAGCATCCTAAGCGACCCCACCTCGCCATCAGACCCCCGCCCCCCCTCAGAGGGACTCCTGGACGGGGGTGGTCCTGAAGAATCATCTCCTCGCTGTCCCAAGAGCCACATTCGTTGTACGCGACTCCCGTTTGATTAATTAGTACGTTGTGCATCTATGCTCTGCTGTGTAAAGGCAACACTTCTGCACCAAGCGCGAATTCCTCTCCGGGACACACACACACACACGATGTAGAAACGAGGCGCGCTTTCACGGTCAGCGAACGTTTACGCACGGATGAAACTCGGTGATAGCCAACATCTCCGAGTGTTTTCCATATGTGTTTTTGCATTTCCAGCCAAAGACAATTAAATGCTTTTGTGTACTGGTGCGCGCGCGTGTGTGTGCTTGAGATAGAGAGAGAGTGGGGTGGGGGTGGGGGTTCGTCCTGCGATCGTAAATGGCGCAACTTCTCATTTTTCCTGTCAAGTTGACACAGCTGGGCGCCCCGCTGACAGCAAACAGGCCAGTGGCCGATGTTTGAGGGAAGACTGCGCCAGTAGGAACCAACATTTAGCCGCTATCCCGATCGTACAGTCCAACCACAAGAACCACATGAAAGCCTACTTGCACTGCGTGTACTAATAGTGAGCGTTCAAAGTACATAAAAAATGGACCGCCTGCTCCATCTGAGGTCCTTTTTAAAAAACCCATCTAACAGCTTCAGGAGTCTCCTTACCTTAAAGCGGGCTCTCTGTGGACGTTTTCACTGAATGTTTTCTGCGTTTGAGTAACACAAATGCACGCCTATTCCACAGCTCGCCGATCGCTGTGTGGAGGAGAGAGAGAGGATGGAGAATCAGCAGGGAGGACGAGAGCTCTCTCTCTCTCTCTCTCTCTCTCTTTCTCTCTCTCTCTCTTTCTCTCTCTCTCGCACTCACTCACTCACTCACTCACTCACTTTCTCTCACTGTCCCTCTCTCTCCCCTCTGAAATGTTACCGGCAACCGATTGGTCCAAGGGTTCCTTGGCGGCCCCTCTCCTCTGCTCTAGGAGGGGCCAAATAAAGCCACTGTCTGTCCTACTAGGCTAAAATACTGCAGATTGATCAATCTCCCAAACCGTTCACCCCGATCTCTTTCCTCTTTCCTCATATATATATATATATATATATATATATATATACGCGTCTTTTTTCCAGGCAACTTCTTTCGTTGAATTTGGTGTCATTTGAAAAGCATAGCGGGGCTTTACAGTGCTGTATTTCTTCGATTAGACACAGTGTTATGTCAAAAAGGGCCGACGTTAAAATGTTAAAAACCCATGCTCACACAGCCTGTGTAAGAAATATTGCTTAAGAAAACTCTTTATTTTAATCTGTGGCCAAGATCACACCTGTGACGTTTCCAGCAGCGTGTAAAAACCCACTCTGGATACGCCATCACGCCGAGCACTTAACTTAGACGGCAGCTACTGTAAATGGGTCAGAGCCAGAGAGAGAGAGAGAGAGAGAGAGAGAAAGAGAGAGAGCAAAACAGTGGAAATAAAGACTCACTTTCAAAAAGGCCTCGGGGCCATTTCATGATTGCACGAGTGTTTTATTACACGACTGAAAACTTAATGACCTAAATGTATCTTTCTCGTATTGTTTTCACTGGATCGGGCCCTCATCGGACACGTGACGTGACGGGATGAAATATGTCATGTTAAATCTCGTCCATGTAAAGTGCTGTTATATTAGCTAAGCTGCTGGAAATGGCTGTGCACGCGGGCCTGTCAGTGTGTTTAGGAAAGAGAAGTCGGAGAGAGTCTTCCTCCTGCATACATGAAGAGAGAGCAGAAGCTCATCAGAACTCGCCTGCAGGGTTCATTAACAGCAGTGAGTTGTGTGTCCCCCTCCCCCCCCTCCCCCCCCTCTTCTACAGCCATCATTTAATACAGTTTAAACACATTACACATTACCATTACATTTCCGGCAGCACACTCACTACCGTTTTATGCTGACAAACTTCTTTACTCATCGTCATTCTTTTGAATAAGAAAGTTTTCTCTCTTTATTACCTGATGAATATTTATGATGTACACAGTAAGAACTGAGGTCAACTGTTTCACTGCATAGCTTGCTGCTGCTTTTCACCTACAGGCATCAGCAACGCGTTCCATATCCACGTTGCACTTTACTGCTGCTGCACTTTCAGCAACAATTAAGCGTTTGGAGCAAGCAGGGGAAACACTGTTTCAGAAGAACTGCACTTGTAACAAGTGTGTGTGACGTGTAACACCCCCCTTTTGTTCTCCATAGCAGTGACATTTGTGGAGCAGCTCGGCTCCATCCGAAAGCCCTTTGGTTTCAGCACCATGGTCAGTGACGCTGATACAGGCCACTGTGTGAGACTGTCTGCATGTGCATGTGAGCGCTTTTAACAGAAAATGTGCTGGCTGTCAGGATGAAAGCGTCAGGATGGGTAAAGATCAGAGATGGTTATTCTGCTTGGTGTTAAACCTTCATGTTAAATCTCCAAACATGTCCTCACATCTGCCTTTGATTACTCTCTAAATATACATACATATGCTCCCACACATATCAGCTTCAACAGAAGGGCCTAGCTGTCGCAAAAATTCTCAAATACTCAACACGCAGCACTTGCCTCCAAGCTCTGCTACAAGCATGCCTTAACACTCATGTAAAATGTATAGAAATCCACCCTTCAATGTGTTTACATATTTGCGACCTCTGCTTCTTCTCTTGCCGGTTGCATTCTCAGTCATGGCACTTCCGTTTTTCCTGCACAGCAATACCAGTGAAGTCAGTGGCCTTGCTGTCTCAATGGAAGACAGCCTAATGAATATTTATTGGTTCATTGGGTCAAGGAGTAATATCTACATTTTCAACATGGCACGACATGCACCTCTTCCACTCATGTATGTGGCGGGGCATTCATCATCAGGGCAAAATCGTTTAGAGCCTTGCGCCTTGCGCCACCTGCTTCACAGCCCCCCAGCAGATCTGTTTGTGTCTTCATTAGCACTTGTCTGAACTATGCTAAAGCCCGATGACAGAAGACCTTGACCTTGGCTCGCAACAAACTGGTTCCATGTTGGCGTTGTAAAAGAATTCTTTATTTTTCTCTTGCAAACCAGCTGCTTTAAGAAGTTCTTGTGATTGAAACCCTGGATTGCATGATTACAGAAGAAAATGGGAATGTGATTTTCTGCAACAGAAACATCAGCTGGATTGTTATTTGAAAAACCCCAAGCCCCTCTTTAGGTATTTCCAAGGGCCTGAGAGTAGACAATGCAGGTATTCTTCATTTCTGCCATCTGCAGAAAAGAAATGGAAGTCAGCGGCAAAAGCAGATACTAATCTTTCTTCTCTAAAGATCAAAAGATTAAGTTAAAATTAGCTTTGTACAACCATTCCCATATATCCCAGCAACATTCAAGTGTACGTCTATGCATCACAGAGAACAGCAGGCATCAAGCATTTTCCATTGTAGGAGAAAACAAGAGGAGGTTTTACGCATTTGTTGGAAAACTGGAACCAAGATGGAAAAATATGTGATTATTCTTTCCCTAGTAGCCAAGCTTAAAGGCAAAATTAAATGTCAATATTTAAAGGTAAAATTGAACATAAAAGTTGTCTTTAGTGCCTTTATGTCAGGGGTGCGATGGTTAGTGCAGTTCCCTCAAAGCAAGAAGGTCTTGGGTTCAAATCCACCATCCAGCCTTTCTGTGTGGAGTTCACATGTTCTCCCCGTGTCTGCATGGGTTCTCTCTGGGTACTCTGGCTTCCTCCCACAGTCCAAAGACATTCAGCTCTTCTCTCTCCCTAGCTGGCGTTGGGTCTGGATCGACTCCTAAGCCCATATGCTGCTGTGGGTGCCAATGGTTGTGGAATTTCCTTCACAACTCGTTGCCATGCATGGCGATCGTTGGCGATTGTCCTGGCCTCGCCGAGATTTATTCTGCCCCTGATGTCATCTTTGACCTGTTTTAGCCATGTTCTCTTCTGTGCCGTTCAGTGGATTATCCACTGGGTGGGTTGTTTACACCAGAGGAGTTGATGTGGTAGTCTGCTCGCATCCATTCGACACACATGACCAAACCATCGCAATCTGCGTTTTTTAATTTCCTCCTCGATTGGCAGTTGGTTGTCGCATCTCCGTCGGATGTCCTCGTTTCGAAGGCAGTCTCAAAGTGATACTTGTAATATCTGTCGAAGTCAGTGCATCTGGAAAACTTCGAGTTTGTTGAGGTCCGCTTTGAGCACGGTCCACGTTTCGGATCCGATAAAGTAGTATCGGGAGGATCAGCGTCCGGAAAAGGCAGATTTTGGTCGAGATGGAAATATTGGTTCACTTCCACAAGCACCACTTGAGGAGAGAAGTGAAGGCTGCAGTTGCTTGACCTATTCGACTGTGGCTCTCTGCCGTGGACGCGACCTTCCTTTGCTCGATCAGTGAGCCCAAGTATTTGAACTGCTGGACTTGCTCTATTTGGATACCGTAGAGGTAGAAGTTGGCAGGCAACCCATCTGTTATCAACACCTTCATCTTGTCAGTGTTTATCTTCAAGCCATATGACGTGGCGGCACGTCCGTGGCTTCGGCGTCATTCTCGGCCAACACACTGCTGTCATTTGCAAACATAAGATCTGTCACGGTGGCATTTTCATCAAACTGGACTCCACGTCTGCCCCTGAAGACTTTTCTCATCATGGTGTTGACTACGATGTTGAAGAGCAGCGGTGAGGCGACGTCTCCCTGGCAGACCCCAGATGGTGAATTTAGTGAATTTAGTTGACAGCTCATTACGGATGCGTATTTGGCTCCATGATCCATTGTAATTTTCCTGCAGGAGCTTAATGACTTTTGGTGGGATGTGCTCGGTCTCCAGCGCCATCCAAAGTGCTGGCCAATCGATGCAGTCCAATGTGGATTGAAAGTCAATAAAGATGATGACCATCCATTTCCCATATGGAATTTGCTCCTCCATCACCTGGCGAATGCTGAATGGTCACAGCACCCACGGTGAGGTCTGAAGCCGGCTTGCTCCTCGTGGCTCGTTTGTTCATGATGTTTCTGCAGGCGTAATTGAATTACTTTCATAAAGACTTTTCCAACAATCGAGAGCAGACCGATGCCACGATAGTTTTGGCATTCTCGGTTGTCGCCTTTTTTGAAGATTGGGATAATGATGGCTTTCTTCCATGTTCTCAGAATCGTCTCCGTGCGCCAGATCTTTTGCAGAAGAAGGTGCACTCATTGGAGAAGAACATCACCGCCAGCCTTAATCGATTCCGCACTGATTGCATCCACACCAGGTGCTTTACCAGTCTTCAAAGTCTGGATGGCCGTCTTCACCTCTGCCAGGGTCAGTTCATCATCGAACATCGGAGTCTCTGGTGCCTCGATGGGTGGCGGTTCTGCTGGTGGTCCTTGTGGCGGGGCGTGATTGTACAGTGTCTCGAAGAACTCCTTCCAACGCTGTAGCCGCTCAGTCGGTGATCATACGAAGGTGCCTTTGGCCTTTCGGATGTTGTCGTTTGTTGATTTGGTTTTTCCACTCAGGTGTCGGAGTGTTCGATAAATTGTGTGGTACTCGTGCTTTGAGGCTGCTTCTTCCAAGTCAGCCGCTACTTGGTTCCAGTAAGCCTCACGTTCTTCCTTCATTCGGCGTCAGTCGACCAGCTTCACACATTTTCGTTCATCTATCATATCAAGGCATTCATTGGATATCCACGGCTGTGTTCGGCGGTGTGTGGGAGGGCACAGTTCTTTGGCGCTTTCCATGATGGCGTCCGAAACTTGTTGCTCTTCAACGTT